TAATATTCTCTTTACGTTATGCAAAATTGTACAAACAGTGGAAATTATAAAATAGCTCTATGCCGCTATATAAACAAACCCTACTCTAATACTTATAATAAGACACTGCGGTGCACTGAAAAGCACAGCATGGTGCGTAGCTTACTTTTATAGTCCCAAAATCTATAGCGATGACGGACGGAAGGACACGCTCAGCCCGATTATATTATAGATATCTTTTCTATATCTTTTCTATATTCTGATCTGCTACTATTCATACGACAACTATTATACTTGTGAGTAGGACGGGAATCACTCTTATGTTCCGCAGACACTAATTAACAACGTCAACCACTTCGTTTATGAAAAGAACACTAACTTTATTAATACACACTTATTTGCACAATATCAAAGAATACATCCGTCTCCTACCATTACTAACCCCCAACTCACGTTACTGCCGCGGTCTACGTCATTGGTACATTGTCGTGTCATGCTCACGTCACATTCGCGCCACAAATATTGTATTCAACATGCGCACAATACTCTCGCACCAAATCGTCTACAGTCAAGTTCGCACCGTCCTTTGTAACCTCTACTAGTCGTCTAATTCTTTATATCTACGCTATGACATCTCCTCCCCCCCTACAATTAAAAAAACTAATACTATTAGTTTTTTTTTCTGTCTTCTTAGTCAATCATCGTATAAATACATAGTCATAGCGTCATCAATGACTGAATTACATTAACATTTCAATAGCAACAATTCCAGCAGTCACATTTTCAAAAAAACAAACGACAACAATGTCATGCCGCATCTTGAACTGCCAGTAGAGAACTTTATCATCTGTATTGAAAAATTTACAAAATAAACGTCAGTCAATTTATTCTTTATCTTCGATAAAGACTGTCCACAAAAGTTTATCATCTGTGTAGACAAATTTACAAAATATACGTCACTCAATGAATCTTCATCTTCGGTAGAGACAGTTCCACAAACCCGCTGCTCCACCAATATGTGATGGGGGGTTTCAAATATATTATATAATTATATCTTTTCTATATCTTTTCTATATTCTGATCTGCTACTATTCATACGACAACTATTATACTTGTGAGTAGGACGGGAATCACTCTTATGTTCCGCAGACACTAATTAACAACGTCAACCACTTCGTTTATGAAAAGAACACTAACTTTATTAATACACACTTATTTGCACAATATCAAAGAATACATCCGTCTCCTACCATTACTAACCCCCAACTCACGTTACTGCCGCGGTTTACGTCATTGGTACATTGTCGTGTCATGCTCACGTCACATTCGCGCCACAAATATTGTATTCAACATGCGCACAATACTCTCGCACCAAATCGTCTACAGTCAAGTTCGCACCGTCCTTTGTAACCTCTACTAGTCGTCTAATTCTTTATATCTACGCTATGACATGAGTCATGATTAATAATATTTCGCTTACTGTTCAGATGCCCCCGCCGTTGGTCGTCGACCCCCTACTATAGTATGTTATATATGTGGGCGAGAATATGGGACAGCATCTATCGGTATACATGAGAAACAGTGTCTGGCAAAATGGAAATTTGAAAATGATCAGCTCCCCCCCAAATCCCGCAGACCTGTCCCGGTGAAGCCACAGATCCTAGAGGAGGCCCAGCAGGGGATAAGTGGCAGCAAGACGGGCACATACAATCTGGACGCCATCAACGAGGCTGCATTCCAAGCAGCGCAAGCTCAGTACTTGCCCTGTCACAAATGTGGCCGGACTTTCCTTCCTGATCGTCTGCCTGTTCATGAACATACCTGCCGGGGCAAAGCTACTATCACAAGGATATAATTTAGTATAAACAAGATGTGTTATGTTTCCCATGACTAGTAGGCTCTGATTATGACATCATGAAGCTTCAAACGAGCTACTCACAATTGTTTACAGAAATTTTTTTTGAGTCAGCAGCCGTATGAAATAATGGAACTAACTTCTGCTTAAAGACATTATTTTTTTAAAAAAAATGATGTCATTATAAAAAAAAATACTGAAACGTTTGTTGCATCTTATAATGTGACATGAAAGTAAAATAATAAAGTACTGCTTAGAAAAATCTTTGAAGCAATAACTTTTGTGTTTTAACATTTAAAGGTTTTTAGTCAAGCAAACTTAAATATTTTGTATATTTTTTTTGTAAAAAGTTCATACTGTTGCTTATGTTTGCTTTAAAATGATTATTTTTTTGTTTTGTTGAACTACTAAATAATTCAGTTTTTTATATATTGTTTTGTAAAAAGTTGTTAATATTTTTAGTATTTTTGAACTGTGGAAAAAGTAATTTTCTTCTTTCCTGTATTGTTTTCTTTTTAATAACAATATGAGTGAGAATTAATGTAAGTATAGTTTAAGATTCAGATGTTTCAATATATTCTAAGTGATACCAGTGAAGTTTTTACATTGTGTATCACCTTGTATTTGATGATTTCTAATTTTTAACATTCAAGTTTCAATTCCAGTCTTATTGCTTTTAAGTTCAGTGTTTAATTTTAACCAAAAATGTTGGGTTGGAGGGGGGGGGGGGGGGGGTTATGGATAGAAACATTGAATGACGCATTTTATGAAGGAACATAATTCCATTACAAGATGTACACACCAATGTGCAAAAACCTGACCCATCAGTTGAATTTGGCTTTCAAAGAAAGAAAATTTATTTGGCACCATCTTTTGGGATAAAATTTCTTTAAAAGGTCCACCAATATTTAAATACATTCTTCCAATTTATCTACAGGGTGTTTGCAGGAAAATGTCTCGGAAGAAACAGTCATACATTCCTGGCCTGAATGCCAGACCGGATGATTTTGAGATGCCCCCACGACCCCAAATAGAGGTTGGTCAACTATTTTAGAGCCCAGTATAGCACTTATATGCTCCAACAACAATAGAATTGAGTGAAGCTGCTATTTTTGAACCCATCATATCATGCCCAAAAACCACCAAACAAGGTGGTTATAGAACCATTTTTGAACCCATCATATCATGCTCAAAAATCATCAAATGAGGTAGTGAACCAACTATTTTTGAACCCATCATATCATGCCCAAAAACCACCAAGTTGTACAAACTATTTTTGAACCCATCATATCATGCCCAAAAACCACCAAGTTGTACAAACTATTTTTGAACCCATCATATCATGCCCAAAAACCACCAAGTTGTACAAACTATTTTTGAACCCATCATATCATGCTCAAAAATCATCAAATGAGGTAGTGAACCAACTATTTTTGAACCCATCATATCATGCTCAAAAACCACCAAGTTGTACAAACTATATTTGAACCCATCATATCATGCTCAAAGATGATCAAACAAGGTGGTTAAAGAACCAACTATTTTTGAACCCTTCACACACCTTAAATCCACCATATGAGGTTATGGAACCCTTGTTTAACCCATCATGCATCACACAAGTGATAACAAGTCCTCCCCAGTGTTAAACCCAATCTGTGCTGATGAGGCATCATGGGATGATTCAGCTCTCTTCTGTAATTGTCACAGCTGTTTAGCTATAGCCCTTGTGGTTATATGATCATCTTAGTTGTATGATCTTAGTTGATAATGCTAATTGTTGATCTAGTGCTCCATTTCAGACAGCTTTTACATACAATTTAACAGAGCTTCATCATGTATTTGTTATATAAATGGGACTACTAAAATACATTATGTACCAAGTTAAACTATTTAAAAAATAAGCTTTTATTTAATTCAAAATGTTTGTCTTTTTTATTTGTGGCAAATCTTGTCACACAATCTTGACCCGCTTTTAATGTAATGCAGCAATTTTGTTATAGATACTTAGGTCTCTAAAGAAAATGTAAGAATATCTAAAAAGAAATTGTATCTACTTAGTAAATTAGTCATTAAAATTTATTTTTAAGATTAGTAAATTTAATAGTTTGAGTGGAGATAACATGATTCAGTACTAACAGTTGCTTGATATTTGACAATTTAACAACAGTTAAGTATCCTGATTAACGGGTTCACGGTACACACTCAGGTGTGAAAAAAAGTTTTTATCGCCAGGTGCTGATCTGGGCTTAAAGTAAATATTTTAAGTCTTTAAGTACTCACTGTTTTATTCAGACTAAGCTGAAATTTCATGCAATTATAAAATATCTTTTTTGAAGCCTTGTTCGGGTTACATTTTTTTGCTTCAAAACCACAAGCTGATACAGTTCGTTATAAAACTTTAATTTTCATTTGTCTTCAGACTGAAGATGATATCCTTATTGACGACTTTTGTAAAGGCAAGAAGAATCCATCAATGGTTTTGCATGAATACTGCCAGAAAAATAAAATTCCCTTGACCTTCAAAGATGAGCCAGTTGATCTTAAACAGAGGAATGCAGTATATGGCAAGTAAGTATAAATTTTGTCAAGAATAAATCAATATTTTGGCATGTTAGTGTATTTTTAAGGAAGTGTAAATTTTAGCTTGTGTGGTGGTAGGAATTAATCTTAACCCTTAAAGCTTTGCTGTTACATAATTTATAACGCGTAAGGCCATGTGGTACACGCTTTAAGGGTTAATAATAAATGAAGAAAAGGGGATCTCAACCTTTTCTTAAGTCTGTGTGACTACTCACATTTACTCAACAATCAAAAATAGCCTCTTGTATACTTCATACAACAAAATGACCATGTGTATTCCAATACAACACTGCAAAGACATATAATTGTTACATTAACACCTAATTTTACTTCTAATTATTTCCACATCAAAATCAGTAATTTCTCTGCTCGTAAATTTAAAGATTCATTCCTACAAGAACTTATAGAACCCTTCTTTAATTATTTCCACATCAAAATCAGTACTAAATTTCTCTGCTCGTAAATTTAAAGATTTATTCCTACAAGAACTTATAGAACCCTTCTTTAACCCAGTATGCATCATACAAGTAATAACAATTCCTCCCTGGTGTTAAACCCAATCCTCGCTACTACGAGAACACCAGTTCCTACTAACTTTCATGGACTGTAACTATATTTATCTATCCCATAACCCTGGGAGCATTGTAGGGTTACAACAATTTTTCATAATGCCTACCTTCTTTCACTGACCCCCCTGCAGCTTTTAATGTAAGAAATACCAATCCTTGATGTTCTCCTTCTAACTTTATCTTTGCCCCTCCCTCCTTTGCACTGTGCCCCTGTATGATTGACTGTCAGCTAGGGTGGGATGGGGTTAGAGAAGGGTTTTATGAAGACATGGCAGTGCAGTAGACAGTCTTCCATTGGAAAACCAGGCTGTCTCACATTACTTAAAAATATATTGATGGCTTGTTTTAAATCTGTTGCAGTTTTGGTTGCAGAGCCATAATAGATGGCTTAGCGTACCCACAAGGAGTGGGAACAAATAAGAAAGAAGCCAAAAATGAAGCCTCTAAGCTGGCATTTCGAGCTTTAGTTGGGCTTGATGATTACACACCAGGTATGTTAACAGTTCAATCCACAATCATATTTACGCTACTCTGTTTAAATTTAAGTGAGTTTTTAGCTACAAAAGAATCCTCTTTAGACCTAATGATCCATTTGGCAGATGAAGTAGAGTTCATTTGTTGCTAGACCTCGGTATATGAAGGGAAGGTGTGCACTTTGCCCAGCTGCCTTTACTTTCAGTAACATGAGTTAGGTACCTATCAGCGCTGGGTGTACTTAGGGACGTTCCACTGACTTGGACCCGAATTCGAACTCGAGACTTTGAGGTTAAGCAGCCTAGCGCTCTATCACTTAGGCCACGCAGTTCCATTTATAACAAAAAAACTTAATCCCAGTTATTCTAACTCTGTTTTAATAATTGTGTTGTTGACCATCCCTTATGGCAGTTCCCCTTAGTGTTGATCTGGATGATAACAGGTTTATAGAGGTGCGAACCTTAAGTGATATCTGTGAACGGAAAGGGCTGCGTTATATCAAAGACATGAGTCTGGAACCAGATCAGTAAGTATGACTTTACTAGATCTAGCATTTTTCACACAATATAGCAGCAGCATAACCAGATCAGTGAGTATGACATTACTAGATCTAGCATTTTTCAAACAATATAGCAGTAGCATAACCAGATCAGTGAGTATGACATTACTAGATCTAGCATTTTTCACACAATATAGCAGTAGCATAACCAGATCAGTGAGTATGACATTACTAGATCTAGCATTTTTCACACAATATAGCAGCAGCATACCCAGATCAGGGAGTATGACATTACTAGATCTAGCATTTTTCACACAATATAGCAGCAGCATACCCAGATCAGTGAGTATGACATCACTAGATCTAGCATTTTTCACACAATATAGCAGCAGCATACCCAGATCAGTGAGTATGACATTACTAGATCATGCATTTTTCATACAAAATAGCATCACATAATGAACCTTTTTATTGCAAACTGACACGTAATTTATAATTTTTCTATTAAGGAATCTTCAATCTCATAAATTAATTCTGTATATTTTTGAATGCCCTGTTTAGTGGTAAGATCGTCCTTTTCAAACAGTGCTTTTCAACATTACATTACCAGATGCTGTCTGTCTTATATGGTGGGCTAAACAAGCTTGAGCAATGTTCAGTAGCCAGATAGACCACAATGGGGAGAAAAAGAATCCAGCATTTCTCTCTCACAGACACACACAGTGTCAGCTGCTAGACTCATAAGTTTCAGTCAGACAATTGCTCAACCCCCCCCCTTCCACTGCATCACAACCAAATTACTTGAATAGGATGGACAGTATTGTTGAGGGGCTACAACCTGTGGTATCAAACTTGGGAGGTTTGGGTTGGCAAGCTGCATCTGGCTGTTAGATCACACCTTCCCCATAAATAGATGCTAAATGTCACCATATGGGTGGACACCATTAGATGAAAGTGCTTCATTTAAATAACCAACACTATACTCTGTTACACTTCACTTGTTTTTAAACTGTTTCAACTTATCTAAACTAAAAGAAAAATTTTCCTATCAAAATAGAGTAAAAAATGGAAAAAAAAATGCTTCTGCTGTTATTATTTTTTACGAGTTTAAAAGATAGAATTATAAGATGATCTATTGTTTTACTTAAATGTTTAAAAAATGCTACTTTTTTCATGCATCAGTCAAATTTGATATATTATTTACAGAAAATATACCTGCACCTTGGTTATATCAGGGTTTGATCCAATCAGAGAGACCAGTGCCGACAGGGAGGAAGCAATAATTATTGCCCACAGAAAAGCACTTCAGCTACTTAAAGGAAATGTATCAGAGGTAACATTCAAGTAATCTCTAAACATGCAATCATAAAAACTTAAGTGTTTTTTGAATCACTTTGATATTTTAGGTTATTGATATTTTAAGGAGCTTGACAGTGTGTGAAAAAAAGTAATAACAACTTGGTTTTTTTATCATTATAGTAAGGTTTGTAAAGAAGAAAGACAAAAAATTTTAAATAAATTATTTCAAGAGCAAAAATTACCAGAATCGGAAACCTAGAGCACACAAGTAATTGTGGCTTATGGTTAGTATTTCAAAAGTGATACAACAAAAAAGTCAGTTGTTCAAAAGTCAACAGAAATGCAGGCTCAAAGTAAAAAGTTCTTTTATAAGTCCACTGCATTTGCACAATTTATTACATACCTTTTTTAAATTTCTTCTTTTTGTAGCTTCAATTTTTTTCAAAGCGGAAGCTTACTCAGAAGTCAAAAAAACCTCTTTGCTCCTTGCCAACAATCATGATCTGGTCTCTCACATAAAACTTGACAGATGCCATTACAACTTCCTAACTCAAACTTCAACATTTTTTTTTAAATTCCACAATAAAGTGTATATCAATTCTGCCTATATCAAAAACATGCCTTTAATTTTTAATAATCATTCTTGCATTGAAAAACATAAAGAATTTAAATCTCTTCCAATTTTAGAAAAATGTAATGAGTGCAAGTCTAAAACAAAAAGAGACATATTCAGAAATTTTAGTTTTTAAATAATGCTAAGTTTTTAAAAAAATCTTAAGTAGGCCCAACCTAATAAAGATTATTGGGCTGTCAGACTATGAATAATATTAAAACTAATGTAAAAACAACAAATGACAAGCTAGATGTTACTATTAAAAATACTTTAAAATAAAATTTGGTTATCATATATAATCAGGCTGAATTTATATTACTTTTTTATTTCAAATGTCTAGTTCAATGTTATATATTAGATGTATGTAAATTGGGTGACAAAACAGTATATCTCAAAGACACTTATTTAATTCTACTTTTATGAATCTGATCAACAGATAGAGCTTCAGCCTGAAGCCTCAGCCAACGGAGTACGTCTTCCTAGTCCCAACTTGGCTTATTCCAGGGAAAAAATAGCCCTGGAGGCCCTCTATGAAGTTTTAAGTACTTTACCCCCAGAACTCCATGCTGTTGAACATCATTTGGCTTGTATATTCATGTCTAATGACTCCATATCTGGTTGGTTGAGTTTTTGTATTCAATTGTAACTATTAATTTTTATTCTTTTACTCTTAAAAAACTCAGTTGATTTGCAGATTTAAATTCTAGGTCATGATATTGGTAGAACAGCGTTTTTTAAATATTTTAAATAATATTATATTTACATTAGCTGTATTCACAAAATAGCAGGTTTAAAATACCAAAGAATTGCATTTAACTGAATTGCTTAGATGTTTAAGTCTGCAAAATGATTTGATGTAAAAAGTTTGTTATAATTAAGATACAATTCATGATTATATTTTTGTTAGCATATTTACATTTTTTTACAGAATTGTGTGCACAATCTGGAAAATGTAACAATGAATGGAATTTAGAAAAGTGCATTTACAGATTAAAATTTCTGGAAAATCTCTAGTTTTTTTTCTTTTGATTCTAACAGAATGTATATAAAATAATTAGTTTTTGCTAATTCTAACTGAGATTAAAGGAAAAGGTCAAGTATCTATATTTAAAAAGAAATTCTGTAGTTTTTGTAGTAGTAAAATTGCATTTGGGGTGCACTAAACTAAGTCAATCCATGTTTTCTCCCGTAATTTTCCCCATTACTTTCCACTATCTCTGTCATTATAATTTATTTTTAACAATGAGACTCCTGCAACATGAGCTTTATAGAGGCTGGCTAAAAATACTGGGGGAAATTTTGTACCATGATAAAAAATAAATAATTACTTCATTCACCAAACTTGAAGAAGTATGTATGCATGTGACATTGCAGTTCAGTAGTGGGCTTTATATAGGCTCATCTTTTTTTAATTTATAAATTAACTATTAGTTATCTTTATTTCATCTATATATATCAAAATGAAAATATGTCTGTCCTTTATGTGTTACTACACCTTTCATCCGATCGCCTTGAAACTTTAGGAAATTGTTAAAAATACTCATGGAGAGATTTCTGATGGAAAAAATATAAAGAAGGAGCTTCCCAGTAGGGTGCAATGCAATTTTTCCCTGTATACAGGATATAAAAAAAATTCAGTACACGGTATATTAAAAAAGTCAGATGTTGTTTGACATTGTTCATCCAAGTGCCTTGAAAATTTGGAGAGTTGATGAGAATACTCGTTTATTCTCCTGATAGTGCCACACTATGTCCCTGACACCTCAGCTGTTGTCAGGCGTATTCTACCTCACTATTATGGAAGGTGACTAACGTACACTCAAGGCTTTTATATAGCACGCCCTGGGACGTCTGGACGGTAACGTGGACAAATCGCATCCCAACAACTGTGATCCATATAAATAACAGGGTCATGTGTCTAAAAGTACTTGATTGGTAATGTGCAGATATAATCCTCTTAAAGTACTGCATCATCGGGCAGCAACGTGAAGGATGGGTTCGCTAACAGTTTCTTAAAATGATTAAAACAGTTTGCTTCACGGCTTAAACAGAAATATAGTCCTGTAAAAGTACATTAAGTAAATTAACTTGGGCAGTTGAAGCAACGTTCATTTGTTTATTTGATCTTGAGATATAAATGGATTATCAGTATGTGCCCAACTGCACTCTCTATCCCCTGAATCAAGTCAAATATCTCTCAGAACTATGTGGTTTCAAAGCCTAGAATTAATCTCATGGCTTTTGGGTTAGCAACAGTGTGCTTGTCCACATGACCACGCCCTTCCCTTTGTAATGTAATGTTAGCATTGTATTTGTTTCTACCTAAGTTTTACGTTGTTATGGTGTGACATTTTGTCTTGCTATTGTTTCAGAGTTTAAAGGTGAAGGAACCATTGTAGCTTGCGGCACTGGCAACAGCAGCATTGCTGTGGAGTCTTTGACCTTAGATGGCCGCTGTTTGCTAGATAGTTCCTGCCTGACCACCGCTAGAAGAGCTTTTAAAAGGTTGGTTCATTCCAGAAAGTTTTAGTTTTGAAAATGTAAATTGTTTTTACAACTCTCTGATCCTGTTCATGAATACAACTAAAACAGAATAATTTTTTTTCTATTTTTTTGTTCAAGTCTTCTCATTGAGTTGATAGAATTGACATAACAAAAAATCATTCAGCACTTAAAGAATTTTTTAAAAGCTGAAATGCAATTATTTACCAGTCTTCAGTTGAATTTAGTTTGACAAGTTTTTTTTAACCCCCCACACACATAGTAAAATTAAAAATAAAAGCCAATATTTATTGTTAGGCAATTATTTATATAACTGACTTCAAATTGACATATACCAAGGCAATATTTTTAGCGCAATTTCCATTCTGGAGAATTGCGTTTATTAACCCGTCATTTCTGGATGGATGAATGGATGGATGAATGTGTGTCCGCAGCTTTAAGTCGTATCTCCTCCTCAACGAAGCAATATCGAGGACTAGTTCCAAAAGCAATTATGTTAAGCAAGTTACGAGGATGAACATAGGCCAAAAAAATTCCTGGTTTCTTTCATGGATTTCCTGGAAAAGCCAAAAAACCTCGAACAAATGCACTTTTTGCTCCATATCTCGGCAACCAGACCACTTAGCGACTTGAAACATTTACCAATCGATTCCTGCCATAATTTAAACCAATATTGCCGAAGAAAGTTTTCAAAAATATCCTTTCGTTCGGTCACAAAAATTTTTTTAATATATTTTAAGCTGAGCGTCTTGTAGGCCTAGTTTTAATTTAAACTGAGCGTCTTGTAGGTTTTTAGCGCAAAGCGCTGAGGTTCGAAAGTATTTTTTTAATTACTTATTTACTTATTAATTCAAACGTTATTTTTGTACCCTATTAATTTATTTATAATTTATATGAGAGTGATAGGGAGTTACAATTACAAGGTTTTTTTTCGCTAGGCCTAATCATTTTTTCACATTTTTTAAAAACAATAGAGTTATATGACTAAAAACCATTGCGCGCCTACTGAACGTGATGGCACAGCCATGGAACGTGATGACGCATCTATTGAACGTGATGACGCGTACATAAGGAAATTGCGCTAAAATTGTCACTAGACTTTTTAATTAACTTGTTTATTTTTAACGTAGAAATGTTTAGTGCTTTTTGTTGTATTTGATTGTTATATATTATTATATTTTCAAAAAGTTAACTATCTTTTGATTTCCTTAGCACAGTTTTGTATTTTATATTTGCTCTACTCCAATATATTAGGTTTCTGGCTCATGAGATGCTGTCATGCTATGGGAACAAAGCTCAGTCCATATTTGAAAGGTCAGCTTCTGACCCTACAAGGTTAAAGTTGAAGAAAGGCTTCATGTTCCATCTGTACCTCAGCCACCCACCAGACGGAGATTATAAAGAATTTATTCACTGGTAAACTTTTAATTTCTTGTCTGTAGTTTTTTAAAAATTATTATTAATGTCCATCAGGTTAACATAAAATTAGATTTATTTAATCTTATACCCTATCCCGTGTAAAATATTACATTGATCACCACCTTCAAATGAGATACAAATTCTCTAAACCAAGCCTACTTCATTGTATTAAAGACAAAAGTTTGTAAAACTAGGCTGTTATGATCATGTTCTAGAAATTAATATCTGTGATTTTTGCTTTCATGTTTTTAAAATAACTTTTTAAAACAAATTAGCCACAGTAATACTTTTTACCTAATACTTTTAGTATAATTTTTAAAATATTAATCTGAATTAAAACTTTTTTTCCTTGATTATTAAGGAAATTGATTACTTCAGCTTAATAAAAAAATATGGATAATAGTATTATAGTTATTATTAAAACAAATACGTAGTCATCTATATTTGACAACTTGCTTTCTCTGATGGTTTTTACCTACCCATCATTCTCCATATCTTCAGAAAAAGTTTTACCACCTCCCCCCTAAAATGACATTACACTTCAGCCTCTTGCTGTTTTGTTAACATTTGTGATATATTTGTATTTGAATTAACACAAAAATGTCTTTTAAAAACATAAAATATTTGCCAAAATTCAATTTTTGATACTACTCCCTCCCTCATCACATATCATCACAAAAGTCCGAACCTCCTCCACCTCAGACTCTGACAACATATCTAAATATTCCCTAAACTGATGAACCGGGTAATATGGTGAACTTCTGTAAGTTATTTCTTAAAACAAGAATTTGCATCTTTTTATTTTCAGTCCTTCAACTTTCACCCCAGAGGTCAAAGCTGAAATCAAGCTTGGGGCTCATCACCCTACCTTTACTGATGAAATACATGGAGCACTTATGTGTAAAAATGAACACAGTAAGATGGAGTGTTTGGCTAGCTTAAAGCAAGGTTGTGGACGAGAGAGTTAGTGATATTGTACTAGCGTATTGTGACTGCAGGAGAATATTGTTAATGTTATTGCTTTAGTATGCAATCAGTGATATATATCTGTGATATATATGAAAAATATTCTGTAGATGTTGAGATGTAGTAGTATACAATGTGTGGGGAAAACAATTACACTAGCTTATTGTGACTGCAGGAGAATATTTTTAATATTGCTTTAGTATGCAATCAGTGATATATAAATATCAGCAATATATATAAAGTATATTCTGTAGATGTTGAGATGTAGTAGTATACAATGGGTGGGGAAACAATACTTCAGCTCCATATCTAGCCCTAACTGTAAAACCATTACCATTTAAACTTCAATTATCGTTATGTATGACTGGTAATGTGAATGTGTAAATAGTAAAGAAAAGTTTCCTTTTGAACCTGACAGGCCATGGAAGTAGAGTTCACCTGATTCTGTGACCCCAAAATATGTAGTGATAGTCTGTTCAGCACTATGCCCAGCCGCCTTTACTTTCCTTAACATTAGGTTGTCGCTGTTGCCTTGGTAATGATGTCTGCCAGAAAAGACCAATTAACCTTTTTGTTTTTACAAATTTGAGCGGCCATATTAAAACTATATTGTGTAATTAGTTTTAACAAGCAAATTCTACAACAATACTGATTAGATTATAATAAGGAATGTTGAGTATTTGCTATGCAATCATCAGTATTTTTTTTAGTTTCGTTGAGTACAGTGTAATGGAAGATATTGTATAAACTATCGTCTTGTTGCATAAAAATCATTTATTGACATTCCCAAAACTTATTTTGGGAAATGTCTTACGGTAATAAACTAATTTTAATCATTAAAAATATACCTGACCCTGAAAAAACAAACACCTGAAAATAATAACTTAATTGTAAAGGCAGCCAACACAAAGCCTGCCATTTAGCCCGCTGCGTATTTGAATTGGAAGAACTCCAGCAAACAAAACATTTGTGCTGAGCAGTCAATCGCAACACAACAACACTCCTTAAAATCTAACAGTTATAGAATCACAGCCATTTAAAAAAAATTTGTTTTTTTCAAAACTCATTTTCAAGCCTACCGATTATGTTTGATAATTATAATTGGTATAAAGTTAAAGGTAAATAACTGCAGGTTTTAATTGTTTAAGTCATCTTGAACAATAACAAAGTTTAAAATCTTAGACGACACTCTAAATTGAGTCAGTTAACTGTCATGGCGGAGATAGATAGAATTAGACTAGACTAGTAGAGGTTACTTAGGACAGTATAAACTTGACGGTAGACGATTTGGTGCGAGAGTATTGTGCGCGTGTTTAATAAAATATTTGTGTCGTGAGCATGACGCGACAATGTTACCGATGACGTAGGACGCAGCAGTGAAGACAGTTGGGGGTTAGACATTATAGAAAAAGGACGTGTTTTGATATTGTGTAATAGATCTATAAGTGTGTGATAATAAAGTAAATGCTATTTCATGAACTAAGTTGTTAATATCGTTAGTGTCTGTGGAAAATAAGAGTGTTCCCGACCTCCTTCACAAGTTTAATAGTTGCAGTGTTAATAATAGCAGTATTTAGAATATAGATTATATATAATACATACTTAATCACAGTAACCTTCAGAGCTGAGTGGACTCTGGAACTAAATGGCTTATTGATAAGGACCAATTATTGCCCACCTAAGATTTAGACCGCCATCTCATCCAATGTTTCAGGGATGCTAGAGAGGACATCCCAGATGCCAGATTTCAAGTCCTTGAATGATGTCCTTAAGACCAATGAGATGTGGGTCATGTCCTCCTCCGACAAGCTACTCCGATGGAATGTTCTAGGTCTGCAGGGGGCAGCCTTGTCTCATTTTATCGATCCTGTTTACATCACCTCCATCTCACTAGGTTAGTATTCTTTTATCTAAACTTATATTTAAAAACATCAACAGCTGTTTACAGCATTACATTGGCTTGTTTTTGATTAACCTTTTGAACCAGAGAAACAGCTTTTTTGGTCTGTGTGCAAAAACTCATACCCTATCAAAAAGATATTTTAGTCACACATTACTACATTGAGAGAGTCTATACGTTGAAACATACATGAAAAACAGTCACAATGGGATATTAGTCCTATAGTAAGCTACAGTGATGTCTGTGCCCATCTGTTTTTCTGTATATGCTTCCATTACCTTTGTCCTTCCAAGAACAAATTACAAGAAACTGTTGTTTCTTCTTCTTTGTTCTTAATTTTAGTGTTGGGATTCCCTCCAACACATTAAGTATTACATGTCAACTGGTTATGCACCATGTACGCTGTTGACTCCCATTTCAGCTTGCTTTTCTCTCTGGATTTTCTTCCACAGCCGTTGTCCAACTAAGAACAAACTACAAGGCAGCAGTTGTTTCTTTTTCTTAATATTAGTGTTGGAAGAGATTCGCTCCAACACAATAAAGCAGGGGTCTCCATACTACGGCCCACAGGGCCTGGATGTGGCCCGCGTAGTCCTCTCATCCGGCCCGCAGAGATCTTTTTGTCCACGGAAAATTTTTTTTGTTGCTGATGGCTGATGAACTTTGCCCAGAAAAATCAAAGACATGTTTGGAAGAAACTGGCCCCCGAACTGAAATTTGATAGTTAATGCGGCCCTCGGACTGAAAAGTTTGGAGACCCCTGCAATAAAGTATAGGTGTCAACTGGTTATGCACCATATAGGCTGTTGACTCCAATTTCAGCCTGCTTTTCCTTTTGGATTTGTTCCCATAGCTTTGGCCAACCAAGAACAAACTACAAGGCAACAGTTGTTTGAATTTGGAGTTGTCTCTTCTAGAAGAGTGGCTGTCCCCAGCTGTCGAGTCTCATCTGCCATGGGGTTTGAACTTGACACTTTTTGGTTTAACAACCATGAGCTTTACCGACTTGACCATACCGACGTCAGCAGTTGTTTGATTTAGTTTTCTCTCCTAGAAGGGTTGCTGTCCCTAGCTAACAATCCTCATCTGCCTGGGGGTTTGAAACTGTGGAATTTTGGTTAGCAATCGTGTGCTCTCCAACCAACAATGCCATGTTATATCAAATTCTGTAGATCTAAAATGGTGTATGTCATTCATAGATATATTGTGGTGGACCTGTGATTAAAAAGGGGTTTTGATGTATATTATTGGATCTAAACTAGTTTAAATAATGTGGTAAGTGTATAGTTGTACTGATAAACACTTAAAAAGATTAAAAGTTCAACAGTTCTATAAACATTTCAACAACTTCCAGGCTTATCTGTGATTGATGTTTGATGGAAAAAATCAGTAGGTGAATGTCTTCCCAAGCAACCCAGGATAACATTTATATCTTACACATTTTCCCTGCTCAATTCATTGATTTTTTCCAACTTATATTCCATGGGATGTCAAGGTCAGAGCGTATGAATGTTAACCCAAAATCTTGAGTTCAGATTTGGGGCTTGAGTGTAGGACTTTGAGCCCATCCTGCTCTGACAGGAACATGACTTACATATTTGGGAAAGTAAATGCATCTGGGCATAGTGACAATTACACCACCTATATAAATGCTGAGGTCAAAGAAAGAGGTGAACTCAACTCTATCTGCCCCATGGGCCGCCAAGTTTTTAAGGGTTACTTTACTTACTTACATGACTGTTATTTTTCAGGCTACAATAAACTGAATGACCATGGTCACTTGTCCAGAGCTGTTTGCTGCAGACTCTACAATGAAATGCAAGATGACTTGCCACCACCCTACACAATAAACCACCCATGCCTTGCCTTCAGCCCATCAACTCCAAGAACCCACTTTGTCCAGGGAGAGAGTCAGAGTGCCTTGTCGCTGAATTGGAATCGTCATGACCGAGCGGTAGAGATTACAGATGGACTGAAAGGCCGCAGTGATCCTTCGTAAGTTGCCTTCTTAACTTTTGGGTATAATATTGTATGGGATGGCATGGTTGGATGATAGAGCGCATAGGATGCACTTTAGCCTAGTCAGCTAAGATGGGGATCTGACTCATGTCAGGGAAAGTAAAGCCTGCTTTGCGCACTAGCCCTCATTAGGTGAGGTCACACAAACAGGTCGACTGTACTTGAACTGCACAATGGACTGCCAGGTTAAAAAATAAACCGGGAGTGATCTCCCCTAAACTTTCTCGAATATTCTAATACGAGCCGGCCCGCGGCATAACATACGCCGCTATTTAGTTGTTGTTTTTCTACTTTTCAGTAATTCATAATTTGTGAATTCGACAGTACCAACGCTGCCACTGAAAATATTTCTTTAAAACATTATAAGTAGCTCGTTAAGGACGATACCACCCCCCCCCCTCCCCCCCCCTCCGTTAAAGTAAACTCCACTTAGTAACCCCCCTACGTTTAAAATCGTTTCAAACTAAATTATCTGCCCCTAATAGCCGTCACTAAACCTGGCTCTGCTTGTAAACATTTCAAGTGAACACAGCTCACCAGACTATGTAGGGGTGGGGGTGGTAGGGAGTGCGTTTTACAGCTTGTTTTCTAGCGTCTCCCAGAAGAGAATTATATATATAGATAACACTACGGGGGATGGCAACTCGGGATATAGACTTCTAGACATGATTTTTAATCCATTTTAATTACTCAAATTTTTTAAAATAGAATATAATCTCGTAGAAAAAAGAAATGCACACCAAGTGAACGCTAAATAAAGATGTGCATAATAGTGCGCAATATTATTAGTACTTTATAAATTTACATGCGTTTTTTAAGAAATCGGAAATAGTGTAAATAACTACTTCCGGTCAACAGAAATTACTCAAAATTTGACACAAGGTAGAGAATTAGATCTTTTACTTACATATCAAATTTCATTTATCTATCTGAAATAGTACTCAAGTTATAGGCTTTTGAAAAATTCAAAGTAGAAAAAGTACCACTTCCGGTTATCGGAAATCGCTCAAAAGTTGATACGGATCTACGATTTTGATAAAATACTTATGTATGAAATTTCATCAACCTAGCTGTAACGGTACTCAAGTTATCGTGTTTACACACAGACACACACACACACACAGACATACGGACAAGATTGCAAAATTATGTTTTTCCGTATCAGTGAGATGTAAAACGTCGAGATTTGCAAAAATCTCAATTTTTTTTTTTTTGCACGATTACAAGACTTTCTCTATACTTCGTATATACGAGAAAGTAAAAAGGTAACGTTCATTATAACGTTATAATTTAATTGTAAGGATGAACTTAAAACATTGAATATGTGAGAATTTTCAATTTTCCATGTCAATAGTTTTTCATAAATGAATACACTTGAAATGAAATTTGATTCACTCAAATATTGTCATCTCTACTTTAATTAATCTCTACAATGCAAAAGCTTTAAAAGCATATAAATCATTTCCCTTTAAACTTTCTTAGACTGTAAGTATTGTATACCTGGTGTAAACTTTCTTAGACTACAAACAGTGTATACCTGGTGTAAACTTTCTTAGACTGCAAACATTGTATACCTGGTGTAAACTTTCTTAGGCTGCAAACATTGTATACCTGGTGTAAACTTTCTTAGACTGCAAACATTGTATACCTGGTGTAAACTTTCTTAGACTGTAAGCATTGTATACCTGGTGTAAACTTTCTTAGACTACAAACAGTGTATACCTGGTGTAAACTTTCTTAGACTGCAAACATTGTATACCTGGTGTAAACTTTCTTAGACTGCAAACATTGTATACCTTGTGTAAACTTTCTTAGACTGCAAACGTTTTATATCTGGTGTAAAATTTCTTAAACTGCTAACATTGTACGCATAACAGACAGACTTCTGCTTATTATTACAAGAAAACTCATTAAAAATTTTATGTATTTATAATGCTTCTACACCAACTATACTCAACACTTATTCCATGACTGTAAGTGTATTTTATCTGCCACACCAAGTTTTCACATAATAATGATTTTAAAAAACACATTTTTAAACCCCTGTTCCTAAACCGAGGCTAGAAGCACTTTAAAATAAAACCCTATTTTTAAACCCCTGTTCCCAAACAGATTCTAGAAGCACTCTAAAATCATCTTCCTCCTTGTTTAGGTCACCATTTCGTGTATCAGCAACCCTGGTCAGCCGTCACTGCAAGGCTGGGCTGCACCTGAAGTGGTTTAAAGACCTGTGCACCGCCAACCCACAGCACAAGATGGTGCCCAGTTTTGTCAACAAGAGTCCTTATGAAATCAAATCCATGGCAACCTCTTACCAACAAGCTAAAACTGTTTTTTTCAAACACTGTCAAGACATTGGTATTGGTAAATGGATTCATGCACCACCAGAACTGAACATGTTCAATAAATGAAACACAACTTCACTGAACAAAATCTAAATAAGCAATATCTTGATTTTAATTACCTGTGTTTGTTGTTTGAGTTGATGCTTTTTTAAAAAGAAAAATTATTTATTTATTCAGTTTACAATTTCTGTTTTAAGTTCAGTTTTTTCGGTCTGATTATTACCACAGTATAGTACCATGTAATAGATTCATGCACCACCAGAACTTAACATATTCAATAAATGAAACATAACTGCACTAAAAATCTAAATAAGCAATATATTGTTGTTAATTACCGGTGTTTGTTGTTTGAATTGATGGTTTATTTTTTTTAGGAAAAATCACTTCATCAGTTTACAGTTTTTAAGTTAAGTTTTTTTGGTCTGATTATTACCACAGTATATGACCACGTTACACCACCATAACTTAACATGTTCATAAATGAAGCACATAAGCTAAACAAGCAATATATTGTTTGATGTTAGTTACCAGTGTTTGTTTGAATTGATGTTTTTTTTTTAAAGAAAAATCACTTATTTCATCAGTTTACAGTTTTTTTGTTTTAAGTTTTTTAATCTAATTATTATGACAATAAATAACCACGTATTAGATTCATGCACCACCAAAACTGAACAAGTTCAATAAATGAAACACAACTTACTGAACAAAATCTAAATAAGCAATATATTGATGTTAATTACCAGTGTTTGTTGTTTGAATTAATGTTTTTTTTTAAAGAAAAGTCACTTATTTTATCAGTTTACAGGTTTTGTTTTATGTTTCTTTTGGTCTAATTATTACCACAGTGTATGACCACGTAATACATACATTTTATGTATGTGTTAAATTTGTTTATGCTTATTATTAATTCTGTTGACCACACCACTAGCAGTTATTGCTGGTTTAGCAAATAGGTTTTATTTTTTAAAATATGTTGATACTTTAACAGTCAGTAATATAAATGTTGTAATTTTTAAAAAATAAATTACTTTATGTAATTGAAAAAATTGAAAACAGTAAAAGGTAATTTTAATTTAGAATTTTTTATTTAAAAAATAAACAATTATTACTTGTTTTATCTCTCAATAAACTTAGGCAATACAATTTGGTTGTAACAGATTCGGGTGTTCCATTTACCTGTAATGAAAGGTCGTTTGGATCACTTGTGGAAATAGCCTGAATGACAGATATGTTGTCAAAAAAGTTATTTTATTGATCAAGAATGTTAGATTTTTTCCCCCTGAAAGACTATTGTTTCATTCATTTCAAATATGGGACCCTCTATGATTGTTTCATTCATTACAAATATGGGACCCTCTATGATTGTATGAGTTACTGCAAATATGTGACCATCTATGATTGTTTCACTCATTACAAATATGGGACTCTCTATGATTGTATGAGTCATTGCAAATATGTGACCCTCTATGATTGTATGAGTCATTGCAAATATGTGACCCTCTTTGATTGTATGAGTCATTGCAAATATGTGACCCTCTATGATTGTATGAGTCATTGCAAATATGTGACCCTCTATGATTGTATGAGTTACTGCAAATATGTGACCATCTATGATTGTTTCACTCATTACAAATATGGGACTCTCTATGATTGTATGAGTCATTGCAAATATGTGACCCTCTATGATTGTATGAGTCATTGCAAATATGTGACCCTCTATGATTGTATGAGTTACTGCAAATATGTGACTCTCTATGATTGTATGAGTCAGTATTGAAGCACTGTTAACACTTATGTCAATGGTGATATTTGTACTGTCATCAGACTATTAGTCTGAGTAATTTTAATTTTGATGTTTACTATCTGATACATTTTTCATGTAGACATACTATTTAACATAAGTATACCAATGAGATCGTAAGCTACTTTCAAAAGGCAATTAAAATACTTAAAAAGAACACAAGAAAGCCACTTCAAATGTGTTAAGATATTAATATAAATTTAGAAAAAGCTAAAACCTCATACTTGACATTTTTTATTACCCTCCCCCTACCCCCTTCACTGACTCAAATACTGAAATAGTTTGATGTGCAAGCTGACTCATTTTGTTGTGTATAGTCACATATTGGCTTCTTGGATGTATAGTCGCATTCTGTTTATTATTGTAAAAACTTTTAATATTCAATACTCTTTCCAGTGTTAAAGAGGTTTCATTTTAAAAATTTTTTAAAAATAGAACTTAATTACCTTGATGAGTCTCTTTCTTGGCCTATGCTACCAATAAATAGCAACATATTTTAGACTTTTTGTTTATCTCAAAGTTGGGTCTATCTTCTTCTGACATTTGGGTCTACCATGACATTTTGTCTATAAAAAATTGCCTACAAACAGTTTGTGTACCATGACACTTATTCTACTGACTTTGGTTTACCAACATTTGGTCTGCTAAGACATTTGGGTCTACCATGACATTTTTTCTATAAAAAATTGCCTACAAACAGTTTGTGTACCATGACACTTATTCTACTGACTTTGGGTTTACCAACATTTGGTCTACTAAGACATTTGGGTCTACCATGACATTTTGTCTATAAAAAATTGCCTACAAACAGTTTGTGTACCATGACACTTATTCTACTGACTTTGGGTTTACCAACATTTGGTCTACTATGACATTTGGGTCTACCATGATATTTGGTCTACTGAAACATAGTCTACCCCGGTATGGAATGGTAAAGTGGCTCAGAATTTGTAGCTGGGTTAGGGTTAGACCTGAGAATAACATTTGACTATAAATAGGTAAGAACATTTTGTTAGCTCCTGTTTTAAAGTTTTTTATTAGTCAAATAATAAAACTAAAAAAATAGTATTCCTTTTTAGAACGAGTTACCTACTACATTTGCGTTATTAATTTAAGGTATCCGGTGCACTGCTAAACTTGTGCTGTAGATTTTAATTTAAAAATATTGAACATTTCCTACATGTCCTTAAAGAAATGGTTCATTGATAGTAGCAGTAAAAAAATGTGGAAATTAAACCAATGTAATCTGACTGTCAGTAGACCAAATGCTGGTGGAAAAACTATGCTCGTCAAAACATTTGTAGATGAATTGTGGCGGTTCCCGCAATAGACAGACCAACTTCCTGACATACCAGTATTATCTGTTTTATTTAACATCACAATATTATTTTAGACAAGTTTTTTCTCTCTGATAAAAGCTGTCAAAATGTAACTTGGTAAAATAGCATTTAAAAATGCTTTATGGACTTGTAAATACTTCTGTTTATGTTTTGTTTCAGTTTTATTTTGATTTTTTATATTATGAAATGCATATTAAAACAGTTCCTGTGAAAAGCCACTGTCTATTGGTTTCCTCATTCTTTTGCTGTTCACAGTAATGTGGGAGTACTTGGGTTTACTTAAGGGTAGGTTGGTAGAGGTCCATCAAACTTTTAACATAGGTTAGTCTTTGATCAGAGCTCAGTCAAGGTGATGTGAAGTTTAGTGCTCAGTCAACTTTTTACTTATCAGAGCTCAGTCTACATAAGTGGTCAATCAACTTTTATTATAAGTCATTCATTGATCAGAGCTCAGCCTACATATTGTGAGAATAAGTGGTCAATCAACTTTTATTATTAGTCATTCATTGATCAGAGCTCAGTCAACATTTTGTGAAGATTAGTTGTCAGACAGCTTTTTATTATACGGGGGTCATCCATAAATGAGGTCACGCTTTTTTGGACGATTTTTACCTCACCCATCCCCTCCGTCACACATCGTCACAAAAAGTCAGACCCCCCCCCCTAAAACTTCAGCCTACACCCCCCCCCCCCCCCCCACCTCAAAATTGCAGTTGAATTTTTCTTAAAACATAAATTTTTTTCCAAAGTCTTGTCTCAACTCTGTCAACATAGATTATTTTAATAAATTATTTTTACAATTTATTTACATAGTTTTTTGAAATCGCGAAATAACGGCTGAAACTCGTTTTCTAACATTGCTTTTTTATAATGCAAAAGTGTGTCGTCGCACCATCTGACCCCCGTATGAGTGTAACCCCTAAGTTCATTCTTTGATCAGAGCTTTGTCATGTTATTATAAGTAATATAAATTATAATCAATATTTTGTAAATAAGTACATCCTTCCCCCTTAAGGGAAGTAGGAGGGAAGCTTACCAAAAATGAAAGACTGCTACACAAAGCCGGCTACTGAAATTCAAATAACCATCGCTGTACAACACAGCTGCTAAAGATCAAAATATACGACCATCAAACACAGCTACTAAAGATCAAAATACACAACCATCAAACACAGATACTAAAGATCAAATAACCATCGCCGTACAACACAGCTACTAAAGATCAAAATACACAACCATCAAACACAGCTACTGAAGATTAAAAAAAACACCATAATCAAACACAGCTGGTGAAGATCAAGAACCACCTAAACAATCACTCAACTTTATAATAGTAGAGAAATACCAAGCACGATTCATGAAGAAGCACACACTGTACATCTAAAGTGAAATATTTCAGTCATTACGTTTCAAGGCTTAACAAAGAGGCGTTTCTTCTCAGCCAGCAGCAATAAGCCTTGAAGCAATCTTGGACGATTGCTAACAGTGACTGCAGCTTAATTAACTTGTATAGGTTTCGTATATAAAAGATGTCACACATCAAGGATAAGAGTGGATTGGGGGGGGGGGGGTCGATTTCATACCAATGGGGGGGGGGGGGGAGAGTTCATATTATGATATTAAGTGCGAAGTGGCTGTTTTTAAAAAAAAAAAATATTTTGATAGAAACTATTTTTAAAATAATTAATTTTTATTTTAACTGTAGTTAGACTATTTTTTGTAGGGGTGGTGGCTACGAATATTATGACGGTGGTATTCTTATTTAGTGTAACGTGGTATTCAACATTTGTTTTATAGCACTTAAGGATAAACATAATTTTAAAAATAAATTAATTGTTGTTTCAATTTTTATTTTAGACCGTTTAATGCACAAGACATTTTTAGCTTGTAGGAATGTTGACTAGTTTCATACTTCAATCAACACCATCTATATTATAGAATGTAGCCTACCTCGCTAATTGCTTCACCGACTAACTAAAGCTACCAACCTGACAAGTGGAAATATCCCAGTGGGCTAACAAGATCAGTGCTGTTATGTGTCACTTATTGCTTTGATTTAAAAATGTCTATATTTAATTAACTTTTCCGGTTTGTCATTTTGTTATTAGTGTATTTAAAGAAGTAAAGAATCCTCTTTAGACCGAGCGATCCATTGGGCATATGAAGTAGAGTCAGTGGGGTAGCGAGTTCGGGTGTCACCCGGTGCGGCACTTAATGGTGTCACCCCCCCCCCCCCCAGAGGCGTAGCGACCCTTATTAATCACTTAATTTAGTGGAATTATCATTTTTCTTTATATATTTTGCTATTTTTTGCCTTGGTGTCACCCCACTGCCGCTACGCCACAGAGTAGAGTTCGTGTTACCCGAATTCGGCATTTGAAGGGAAAGTTGTTGTCACCACTTTGCCCACCGCTTTTAATTTTCCTAATATGAGTTAGGTACCCATTAGAGCTGGGTGGAATCAGAGACGTTCTACTGTCTGACGGCGTGGCCTAAGCGGTAGAGCCCTAAGCTCTCGAGTTCCAATCCGGGTTCAAGTCAGTTTGAGGGGGGGGGGGGCGCTTATTGGAAATTGAAAGGTTGTTCCCGAAGGGGTTGCCAAATTGATAGTTTGTCCCCTGGCGCCGGGAAGGGTCGCTACGCCTCTGATATATATATATATATATATATATATATATATATATATATATATATATATATATATATATATATATATATATATATATATATATATATATATAACGGATCGTGTCCAGATAAGCCTGGCCAAAAAGTTAACCCCCGCAACCCAAAAAAAAAGTATTTAAAAAAGAGGATAAGAAACTTGGGGTGAAATTTGGACATGTCATTTATAATTTGCACAAAAAGGTCGGTATGTTGTACCTTCAACCCTAACACCAACAGTTACCCTAATCGTAACCAGTGTTTTTTCCAGACTTTTTTCTCCGGGGGGCACTTGAAACTTTCGGTGGGAAGAAGGGGGGGGGGGGACAAAAATTTCCGGGGGAGGGGGGCGGACACTGTCAAAAGTATATGTTTTCTCTTAAATTCAATTTCGTTCGCGGGGAAGGGGGGTGGGGGGGGGGAGGTGGGGGCGAAGAGATGCCTGGAAGAAACTCTGATCGTAATCCCTAACCCTACCATAGAAGCGGACAAGAAGTTATTTTAATGGCGTGTGTTTAAATATTCAAATGTCTAAAAAACAGAAATAGGTCTCAAGGGGCGTGGATTTACTTTTCGACCATGCACTTTTTACATTAGTGGCGGGGCTTAACTGGACAAGATCCGAACACACCCTAAACACAACCACAAGCCGGCGTTACACAACCATAACCCTGTGGTCTGACGTTACTTATAACGACAACGGCGACAGTGTATAATTAATGAACTGTTGCAATTAGTATTAGATTGACGTCGTTTGGCGAATTTTTCTGGAGTTGGGTTTTTAAACAGGAGAGACACTTCATATGTTTAACATACATCAGAGCAATCTGTAACATATGGGGCCAAGTGGATTAGGCTGCACGAGTAGCATCGGGTCAGGACATTGCAAGTGTAACGTATAGTGGATCAATCATTTGCAAAGGCAGTCTTTCTCCTTAAACTGACGGAAGCGATACATCTTCTTATTTAAAACTCATGGAACTGATACATCTTCCTAGTTAAAACTCGTGGAATCGATACTGTCTCCTACTTAAACTGGCGGAATCGATACATCTTCCGATTTAAAACTCGTGGAATCGATACATGCTTTTACTTAGAATTGATGGAAGCGATAAATTTTCCTACATAAAGTGGCGGAATCTAAATACCTTCCAAACAAAACTTAAGGAATCGATACATCATCCTGCTTAAAACTTATGGAATCGATACATGCTTCTACTTAGAACTGATGGAAGCGATGCATCTTCCTATTTAAAACTAGCGGAATCGATTCATCTTCCTACTTAAAGTGATGGAATCGATAAATCTTCCAATCAAAATTAAAGGGATTTATATCTTTCTAATTAAAAACTTAAGGAATCGATATATCTTCCTACTTAAAAGTGATGGAATCGATACATCTGCTACTTAACATTGACGGAATCAATACATATTCCTACTTAAAACTTATGAAATCGATATACTTTCCTACTTAAAACTGATTTAATTGATATATCTCCAGTGGTTGCTAAACCGAAAAGTCTCGAGTTCGAACCCTCGGGGAGATGAGGCTCGTTAGTTGGGGACAGCCACTCTTCTAGGAGAGACAACTCCAAAATTAAACAACTGCTGCCTTGTAGTTTGTTCTTGGTGGACAAAGGCTATGGAAGCAAATCCAAAAAGAACAGCAGGCTGAAATCGGAGTCAATGGCCTCAATGGCGCATAACCAGTTGACTCGTATACTTAATTGTGTTGGAGGCGTGTTCGACGGCAAAGCTTATGGTTGTTAAATTCGAAAAAAAAGTCTCGAGTTCGAATTCTGGCAGATAAGGCTCGATCCCTTTGAACACTAAAAATTAAGAACGATGAAGAAGAAAATACTTCTCCCTAAATTTATAAAATCGATACATCTTCCTACTTAAAACTGATGGAATCGATATATTCTACCAATCAAAACTTAAGGAATCCACCTAATTTAAAACTGAAAGAATTCAGGCATCTCCCTAGCTAAAACAAATAGAATCAAGATATCTTCTGGAGTCGAGACAACTTCAGACTTCAGACTGCTACGAGTGACAGAAGTCACAAGAAGCTTCACAATTGGATTACTTTAACTACATCGGCTGTGTGTGATTACATTTTCTAGTAAAAGGGTAAGCTGAAAATTTATTTAAGGACATCCATAAATGACGTTATGCTTTTTTTTTGGACGATTTTTACCTCCCCCTCCCCTCCGTCACACATCGTCACAAAAAGCCAGACACCCCCTAAAATGACGTCACACCTCAGCCTACAACCCTCCTCAAGATTGCAGTTGAATTTTTATTAAAACAGCGATATTTTTCCCAAAACTTCTCTGAACTCTGCCAACATAAGAGTATTTTAATAAATTCCTATTACAATTTATTAAAACAGTTTTATAAAAGGCAAAATAACGGCTACAATTTTTTTTTCTAGCATTTCTTTTTTTAAAGCAAAAATGTGACGTCACATCATCTGAACAACCCCCCACTCCCTCCCCCTCATCACACACCGTCACAAAATTACTGACCCCACCCAACCCCCCTGTGACGT